CACCTCTCCCCTTAAATGAGAAAAAGAGAAAAAACAACTGCACATTTAGACTTCTCTCTTAGGAAACTTCTAGAGACATACTCCACAGACCTAAAGTCTCAGTATTCTCTGCAGTATTTTCAGTCTAACTGGAACTGGTATTTTTCTGTTGTATTCTCAAAAATGGTGATCCAAGTCTGGTTGTATCTCTGACTACTTTGGTTAATTTTTTTTTTTTTCATATGCTACATGTTTGCACGTGTGTAATATTATGATTCTTTTAGATGAATGATGTTGCATATGTAACTTGCTTTAATTGTGGCTTAACTCTACAGTAGGTTGAGATATTACATTTGAATTAAGACCACTGAATATTTTGCATGTTCAGTTTAGTATATTGTGTTTGGACAAGCATAGTGAAGTGAGGTAAAATTGTTTTTCTAGAGGTCCACCTTTGTCCTTATTCTATAATACCTCTTCTGACTGCTGAGTATCTAGCTTGGTATGATGATGTTTGGGAGCAGAGTGGTAATAGAGGGATTAATTTAGAAATGTTAGAGTAGTCTCCTGTGGCAAACGGTCAAAGATAATTTAGATCTTTGAAACACTGCACATATAATTAAATGAGAAACTTAACAAAATATAACAGGATATTATGTGCTTAAAATGAATGCTTGAAGGGAGACAGGAGGTGCCTGGGAAATTGGTGGATGGATTAATTTTCATTAGTTTTTGCCTTAGTTGTGCAAAGCTTCTGAGATTTGGATACATGGGTATACTAGGCAAAAATATTTTCTAAAAGTTGTTTCCATAAATATCAACAACTCTTATGGACATATGTTGTCCTGTTGTACACACCACTGAAAAGAGAATCTTTTTTTCATAGGTGACACATTGGCAGGAATAGGGGAGGGCACATGCCTCCCCAGACTTCTGCACTGACAGTGGGGCACAGGGCTGCAGCATGGCTGAAGTCCTATACCATCATTTGGGACCTGGCAGCAGTGGGGTGACAATGATGGCATGATTTCTGCACCAACTGGGGCACAGGGCTGCAGCCCAGCCAGACTCTGTCTGCCAGCGGTGGGAGTGGTGGTGGTGTGGAGTTGTGCTCCCCCATTGTCAGCACTTATGTGTTGCTTATGCCTTTTTTTTTTTCTTCTTTCTTCTCTCAGGATGGCAAACTTCAGTGAACTGTGGAAGCATCTGTCATGTACTCCTGTGCAACCGTCTGTCAGTCCAGTCACTAAGCCAAGTGAGAGCATATGCTTCCAATGGTCAGAAAAAAAGCCCTGGATCACAGAATACGAATGAATCCACCTCAGAAACTGCTATGCCCAAAACTGGAACAGGTCTTTTATTTTTTTTCATTTTAGTGGTGTTCTTACCTCTGTTTTTTAATTTCTTTTTTTTGAAAAAGAATGTGAATATAAGAGCATTTATGCAATAAACAATTCTGTTAGTTTACGTTGTGCAATTGAGAACTGATCAGAACCATTTGTTATACTATAGCTACAGAATTTGGAAATGGTTGTATCTCCTTCCATCTTTATCCATACCTCCAGTGAGTGAACATGGGCAAAGACTTGGATGCATGTACTTATTTTTTCTTTATTAATTAAGTGTAAATAAGACAACTGTTGTTGGAGGAGTGTTTGAAGGATAGGAGATGGATGGGTGTTTGAAGAGTGGTGGTTGGATGGGTCTTTTTTGACCTGGAGCAATGTGGGCAGTGGGGTTCCGCAGGGCTCGGTCCTCAGGCCTGCACTGTTTGACATCTTCATCAGTGACTTGGACGAGGGGGTGAAAAGCACCTTGTGTCATCTGCAAATTTGAACTAAGGTGTGGGGAGAAGTGGGCACGCTGAAGGAGAGGGACAGGCTGCAACTAGATCTAGATAGGTTACAGGGGTGGGCAGGTGAGAACAGGATGGGATTCAATACTGATAAGTGCAAGGTACTGCACCTGGGGAGGATGAACCAGCAGCATACCTACAGGCTGGGGAACTCCCTTCTCATCAGCACAGAGGCAGAAAAGGATCTTGGTGTCATTATTGATTCCAAAATGAACATGGGCTGCCAATGTGGGGACGCAGTCAGGAAGGCTAACTGCACCTTGTCATGCATCCACAGATGCATCATGAGCAGATTCAAGAAGGTGATCCTCCCCCTCTGTGCGACACTGGTCAGGCCACAGTTGGAGTACTGAGTCCAGTTCTGGGTGCCGCACTT